ATTTAACCGTTGATCTTTCTACCCACAGAGGCCTGGCTTGATTTTTCCCCTGTGGATTAGGCTCCTCTCCTCCAGTTTACAGCAGAACAAAGCTATATACATGTATACACACACACACACACACACACACACACACACACACACACGTGTGTATATAGAGTTTTTGTTGTTTTACTTTGGAGTTTCTCAGCTAGATTTCCTTTTTTCTCTGTTTTTAACATGTCTTGGTTTTTTACCTTTATTTTACTTTGGAGTTTCTCAGCTAGATTTCCTTTTTTCTCTCTGTTTTTAACATGTCTTGGTTTTTTACCTTTACAATTTTTTAAAATTATTTTATTGATTATCCTATATAATTTTTAAAAACTGAATTTATTGGGGTGACATTGGTTAATAAATCATATAGGTTTCAGGTATACATTTCTATCATATATCACCTGTATATTGTATGGTGTGTTCACTATCCCAATGTGGGTTTTTTTTAAAAATTGGTTTGAGAGTGAAAGAGAGACAGACAGACAGACAGACAGAGAACACTGATGTGCTGTTCCACTTATTCATGCATTCAGTGGTTGTTTCTTGTATGTGCCCTGACTGGGGATCGAACCCACAATCTGGGAGTATCGGGATGATGGTCTAACCAACTGAGCTATAAAAATTTTAAATCATGCATACAAATTTTTACCTTTTAACCCTGAGTTTCAAGTAACAAATATCATTTTTAACTCGATGTTTTCAACAAGAACCTCTGTTTCCTACAAATATGCTGCTCATTTTAGGCACGGCAGCCAAGGCCAGTGAGCTCCTTGCAACATCGCCACCGACACAGGGTCCTGCTGGCCCCCCGCCCCGGGTCTCGGCGGCTTTTCCGTAGTGTCCCCTTCCGTCCGCCAGCTCTGCACTCACACCCATACCTCTCTCTCTACATGCAGTTTTCCTGCATAAGGTTTAGAAGATTTTGATTATGCAAATTCTGCATTCCCTCAAAGAAAAAGGCACACTTTTTGATGCAACTAATTATCCTTTAAATGCTACTTCTTTTATCTTATTTAGAAAGAACATTTTAAATAGCACTGGGAATACATTAAAAACACTGTAATACTTTCTGATCCTGAAGAGAATCAGTATCTTTCATAAATACACAAATCCAAAATGTTACCCTATGCCAATACAGTTTCAGCAAATCTTAGCATAGACTTATGCTCATAATTCACAAATAATTGAAGTACCGCTGCTCTTAATTCGGGACAATCAACAAGCCACGTCAATCTACACTTCCGAGCATGACGCACAACACCCTTTGTTCACTTAGGTGACCACTGAACAGGCATCGGTCGGTTCAGCCTCTGCAGCAGGTGGGGCCCTGAACTTGGGACGTACCACTGAAGAGAACAGACAGGGCTGCTAGCCTCACGAAGCTTAGATTCTAGCAGGAATCTTTTATCCAAACACCACACAGTTTTTAAAAGTGTTTGTTATATATATGACATACACTGGATGAAATTTATAGTCTTGGTATACTAACATAAGCCATATAAAAATATGACATGTACCTTGTATTTGTCTCATCAAAATTTCCTCAAGCATTTGAAATGTCTTGCATCTTCCCTGCATTGCCCCCTAGCAACTATATTAACATGTATCTGACACCTCGAAAGTAACCATTAGCTAATACAGATTAACCCTGCAGAGAAAAATGCAGTGCAGGGGCACACCAGGTGACAGATGTCCGTGGTAGGGGCGGAGGGAAACTGGATTTTGAAAATATCTTGGATTATATATATTTAAAACCTTAAAGACATACCACATTCCCACTAAGATAGATATTAAGGACTATATAAGTACATTTGATGATAAAAGAAAAAATCATGTCATAAAAATGAGACCGGAAGCATATAATCCAGGCCACTAAACTCTACATGTAATGACAGCTTAGTCTATTTCAGGGGCTGAGCTCCTCCCCTAAATCGTACCCTGCGATGCCACTTGCTTGCTCAGCAGGGGAAGGATGTTACTAAGGCTGCATAGACAACCAGAGTCCCCAGGTAGCTGGGCAGGTAAATTGAAGGGATTTTTCTCAACAGACATACGGCCTAGACACAGAAGGGCCCCTTCTGCAGAGGAGCCGCTTTAGACAGCAGAGAAGGAATGGTAGGTTTCGCTGCGGGGTAGCGATAAAACCAGTGTGAGCACACCCTGTGTTTGGACACTGCTACCCAGGTGTTCGGACAGGAGGAAAGAAAGCCGGAAGCAGCAAAATTCCTAAAAATACTGCAAGTCAACATCAAATGAATGTGGCTCACTCACGCAGAAGTCGCCAGCCCTAAAAGACAGTTTATGAACATGGTGGTAGGTACCAGACGCCTTAAAGATGTGTTTTAACTCAGCAGTTGTACTTCTGATGGTTTATCCAAAGGAAATAATTACAGAACTACACACATCACACACAAGGATGCCCAGTCGTTTACACTGGCTAAAACTAGCAACGCCATCAAAGTAAGTAGCCCTGTCTGTCTAAGCATCCTCACTGACCCCCAGGCCTGGGCTTGGGAACTGCCCCCCTCACTGTAACTGCTGCAGGGCGAGGCTCCATTAGAGAGATCACCGCCCACCCTGCTGTCATTAAAATGCAGTACTGCACTAGGAAGAAAGCAATTTTTAAAATAGGAGCCTACTTTAAAATTAACTACAGAATTACATTCGGTACACTTTCTCGTCCACTGAAGCTTTTTCTAAAGTGCTCATTTCTAGGTGTTGGTTTGTGGGTGGTTTTTCTTTCGGTTCTCTGCTTTCTTAAAGGGAAACACTGTATTAAAAAGATGATTTGCAGCTTAACGTGGGAGTATTTTCATCTTTGCAAAGAACCCACGAAACAGTCTTTTTAAAAAGTAATTAAATCTGAAAGACCACTGAGTTGTTTCAAGTGTAATTCTTATTTTCTAGGACCTAAAATTAATTTTTAACCACTTATAAGCCTGCTACCTAATACAATATTTATTCAATGTCATTAATTAGTGATAGCATTAAACTTGGTAGATGTTCATTTCTAATGGCTAGTCAATAAGCAGGAGAAATGTGACATTTAAAAAGTGAGGGCTGACCTGTTTTCAAAGGAAGGGAACTTAGTTTTTTGGAAAGATGCCAGCTGGCCAACACAGAAACTGGTTACTTAGAACAAAGCGGCACGTCACCCACTGGACCAGGCGGAAGCACTAGGGTGATGGATTTTTAACTGTATGACATACCCATTCAATACTCAGCTCCTATAATGTTCTTCCACCCAAAAAGTGCCATTGCTATACTCTAGGTTAGTGGGAAGGAATGAAAATCCATTCAGTTACCAAGTTCGGCAGGTTTACTCTCTTTCTTCAACATCTCCTAGTGATCCTGAAATGCTAATGCTACTGAAGGAGCTGAAACCTGTTCGATTCAGGGCTTCGGGCACTACCCTAATGAACTCTCTACAGTTTAATCAGTCCAGGGGAGATGTGCCGGCCGCGGCGGTTTTCTTCCACCATGAGGCTCCCAGAGGAGAACCAGCAGCCAGAGGGCACTGTGAAGGGCGCACAGGCAGATTTGTCCAGACAAGGCAATCCATTACGCAGCAAGCCTCGCAAAGCTGCACCAAGCCAGTAAGTCTCTCAGGGTGAAATACAAAGAACTCTTTAAAAGACCACATGACTAACAACAATAAATCAAAATCCCTGAGGATAACATCATTAGGAAAAAAAATATCCTTTTTGGCTGGAAAAATGACTTTAATAATATGGCGAACTTGTTGAAAATTTTCCAGAATGACAAATTAATTCACCGTCATAATTTAGGAACTGCCCCCCCACCCGAAGTTGAAACATCAATGGGGAAATGAAGTGAAAGAATGAGAGGGAACGAACGACAGGGAAGAGACGAATGAGAACTACTTATTTATGAACAAACACCATTCTTTTGGTTGAAAAAACAAAGAAACTGCCAGAGTTCCCACAATAAGTACATAGTGCTCAGAACCCTTTTACCATATTTTCACAGCTAAGTTTTCAACAGTTACTCGTTTGTAACATAAACATATCTAGGCGGCAGTCTAAGCTGCAACTAAAATACTCAAGTCAAGGTGACAATCCAGAATAAGTGCAGTTTTATGCAGACTGCCTTACAATTAAAAACCTGCCGTGCCAGGCCTGTGAGGTCCTCAAATAAGACTCTGAACATCTGGAAGACTCCAAAAGGACCCAAAGTCACAAGATGTATTAAAAGAAAAAACATGACTAATACTAAAAAAAAAAATTTAAAGTGTGTTTTCTGAAGAAACAAAGCAGCTCTCTTCCTGAACCCCTTTATCACCCAACCTCCATAAAAATGCGTTGCCTCCATTACAAATATCAGAAGCGTGATGATCAAACGAACGCAGCTCTCAAAACACAAAACCTCTCACTTTGGACGCGTCTACCAGCAGGAAAGAAGCAGTTCCACACGCCTTCCTGACCTTGCTTTCTGCCGGGGTCCCCCAATAGCTCTCCCACGGGCTGCGGGCCAGCACCGCGGTTCGCCAGCACTTCCCAGACCACAGCCGACAGAACTGTCTGAACTCCGCCCTGCGCTACCCTGGGGACCTCCTGGGCCAACCTGAGCATCGGTCAGACTGCCCAGGCCCCGGGACTGCAAGGGAAGCGCAGCCAGGGCGGCCAGCAGGGAGGACGCAGGGCAGCCCAGTCACAACGGCCAGGCAGGACCGCCCCCGAGTGACCCTCGGCACACTAGCCTGTAATTGTTTAAAACAAGTAAAGGCTGTGGAGACGCTGCGGGGAGGGGTGTGGGCGTGGGAGCGCAGCAGGTCCGGGGTACCACCACCCTTGGAGGATGTGAATTTGGGAGGGGAAAAGGCCGGCGCCTCCGGGCCCTTATCACCGCCCCGACATCCGGACTTCCTTCTCTGGGCGCCGGCGCTTCTGTCGGGGAAGGGAAGGGAATCAGCCCAGAGAGAGGCGGAGTCGGGCCGAGATGCTCACCCGCCGGCGAAGAGGTGAAGCAGCGTGTTTTCCTGCTGAGCGCCCGTCGCCATGGCCGCGCCGGTGCCGCTGGCACGAGGCAGGTGGAAGGATACCCGAGGAGGCCCGCTCCGCTAGTGCCGCTGCTCTCAGGCGTCCGCCGGCGCCGCCGCCATGCACGCGCGCCCCCACGACCGCTTCCCTCGGCCCGCGCCCTCCCTCCGCCGCGCAGCCCCGGGCCACTAGCCGGCCTCTGCGGCTCAAGCCCGGCGTCCAGTGGGACCACACCGCGCGGCCATCACGTGGCGGGGGCCGGGCCGTGACGTCACGCGGCGGCGCGCGCTGGGGGCGGGGAACGGCGGGGGTGTGAGCCCCCATCTGAGCGCCCATTGGCGAACGACTGGACGTGGGCGGTGCGAGTGCACAGCCCGGGGCGGGGTTTCCGCTCGGAGCACAAGACTGGGCGGGGCCAGCCTGGGCCCAGGCTGCTGGTTGGAGGATCTGCCCTAGCAGTGTGCTCCCTCCTTGCTCGCAGACTGAGACCTTGGGATTGGCCAAGTCTGGAGAGCCCCTGGCCCTTTTACTTTCTTAGTTTATTTTTTACTTTATTTGTGATACTTACGATGTGTAAAAAGGTATATCAATTACATATGATATCTCACCACCCAGTTTAGGGAAAAAACACAATCAAAAGAGCCTAAAACTCCCAGTGTACCCCCAGTATCATTTTGCATATATTTTATTTTTCTAGAAATAGTAGTATATGCTGCAATACGCTTTTTCGTCTACCTTTTCTGATCACCTCCAGTCAAGACTACTGAGCTCCAAGCTTCTACATCCAAGCTGCTTCTCTCTACTTGTATTCGCTTGGGTCACTGTCAAACTCAGCCTGGCATCTTCTTACCTCCAGGTCTTGATACCAGGGCTTCCCTGGCTACCCTTGGAGCATACCTACCACATGACTCTGTTTCATTTCCTCATATGGGTTTCTGCAGTTACTTTGTTGATCGATTTGTTTAAGATGTCCTCCTGCTTCAGAATTGCGGGGACCCTGTTTCATTTGCTCATGGTTTTTCCTGACAAGGTATCTACAGCTAGTAATGCCCAAGAAATGAATGAGTGAATAAATGTCCCTAACTTAACTCATCGTTTTAGTCTTTCCCTGCCCCAAACCTGTCTGCCTCTTTTATTTCCTGTCCTAGAAATATGATGACACCACCATCTGCACAGTCACCAGTGCCAGAGACTTCCCTGTTACCTCAAATTCCTCTCTCTCCCTCTCTCCTTCTCTCGTCTTTTTGGCTCTCCCCACCGCACCCCTCAGCAGCCCATCACTCGCTTCTATCTCCTGAAATTCCCCCAAAGCCATCCTTTTCCTGGTGCTCCTTCTGCTGCTGCTGCGGTTTCAAGTTGAAAGCAGTACTTTGTCCAGACCAAGCTGCTAGGTGTCCCAAGTGTAAACACAAAAAGAGCTTAAGTAGAAGGGGAATTATGTGCAAACACAGGAGCTGGGGATTTGATTGCTGGGACTCTTGAAAAACAACTCTTGGGGGCAGTCATCCAAAATACAAATACAGTGAGTACTCTATATTAAAACCATTACTCCCAGGCCTAGAAAGGGGGAAAAGCCATACTAGCTGCTCCATATGTGGGGGGAAAAAGGGAAGGAAGGAAAGAAGGCGGGCAGGAAGGAAAAGTGTTCCTCGTGCTACGTGAATTCCCCAAATCCCTTGCTTTAGTTGCTTAGGAAGTCAGTGTTAGTCCTAGCTGAAGATTTATGAGGCAGAAGGACAAAAGAGGAGAAAGTAATGCCACCTGGTTAGCCAGGAGGGACCTGCTCCCATCTGGGCAAAAATTTAAACCCCAGGAGGTGCTGCCATCCTGGGAGCACCGCCCTCTATCGTGGCTGCTGTCTCTCTCACACAGGTGTTTGGGATCCAGGCCTCTAAGGCCAAGGCAGCCCCCAGCCTCCTGCCGTTTTTCCCCAAGAACCATCAGTTTGCGGCTAGGCTAGACATGGAATCTGGTCTCCCCACCTCCTTGTTAGTGATAACACTGCCTTCAGGTTACAGTTTTTCCAAGGTGTCTCATATATATATTATCTCGTTGGATACTCAGAGTGTTTGGCCGCCCTATTGTTTTTGTTCCCTTTTTATGGATAGGCAGGATAGATTTGCTCAAGGTCACACAGCTAGTTAGTGGCTGATGCACCAATCTTTCATGCCTCCATGCCTTGGAACATGCCGTTACCTAGGAATCCCCCTTCCGTTGCCAGCCAGACAGAGGAAGCTACCGGACTCATTCATTCATTCAGCACACATTTACTGAGCTTTTACTGGGTTCGAGGCAGTGTTCTAGGCTCTGGGGGGGGGGGCGGGTACAGCAGGGATTAAAATGGGTAAAAATCCTTAGCGAAACAATAGCAGTCAAATCCAGCAATAGATAACATATCATGATCAAATGAGATACGTTCCAGTAATTTGAGGTTGCTTTAACATTCCAAAATCAATCAGTCTGATTCAGTCTATGTTGTACATTGGTTTAATATGATTTCAAACCCACTTGTTTATGATAAAGGGAAAAAAAGCTGCTTCGATATAAGAGTGACGTGAGTCGTACCAAGGTGTCATCCCATATATGTCTGTTGTCATCGACAGGCAGTGAGCAGCCTCGTTACTGAGGGGCTCCTCCGGGCCGTATTCATAAGTACACGTGGAGAAGCAACTATAGCAAGGGAACATCTAGACTATAAATACTGGGAGTTTGTGAGGACTATATGAGAGTTTCAGTTTGGACAGAAGGGACTCTTCTTTGCTAATATAAAAAATGCCCCAAGACCCTCAGGGCACGTGTCCTGCCTTGGTGAGGTGCTTCTGGAAGACAGCGGTGGTTAACAGCTTAGTCCCTAATGAGAGACACCAGCCTGCCCACCAACGCTGGCATCTTCGTTCCCTAGCAACTGAGCACTTACACTTCTGAGCTGGAAGCAGGAAATCAGCTCTTTCATTGGCGGTCATCACTCCCAGTGCTTCCTCATATGAAAAGATACACCTCTGTTGAATTTTAAATTCTGTTCTCTTACCTCTCCTTGCCTGGAACAATAAAGAGTGCTATTAATCTGTCATTTTTTGGGAGTGTGTTATTTCTTTATTTGGCTTCTTAAGAGTTATTATCCTGGGTGCTGTTGGCTTGTGAAATTACTATAAGTCTCACAGCAAACCTGTGCTAAATGAATTACTGGCAAAGACAAAACTCAGGGTCTGAATCATACTTTTGCAGCCTCCCAAAACAAAAACAGAAACAAAGCAGCATGTTAGCAGAATAAAGGAGAAAAACCGGGTGATCCTGTCAATACATGCAGAAGAAATGTTTCATAAAACCTAATGCCCATCTTCTAAAAAGGTTCTCAGCAAACTGGGAACAAGATGAAATTCTACCACCTGATGAAGGGCATCTACCACAAACCCACAGCTACCATCATCCTTCACGGTGAGAGGCTGCCTGCCTGCTCCCCTAAGACAGGCAACAAGAAGAAACACCTGCTACTGTTCAACATAGTACTAGAGGTGCCAGCCAGTGCAATAAGGCACGAGAAAGAAATAAAAGTCAAAAATGTCAGAAAGGAAGAAGTAAAACTCTCTTCAGTCACAGATGACCTAGTTGTTAACTAAGAAATGTTAATAAACCTATACAACAACTACTAGAACTACTTATGTGGTGAATTTAGCAACATTGTATGAAACAAGGTCAACATACAAAAAGTAACTAATTTTTTGCTAGCTGTAAACAATTTGAATACTACATTTTAAAAAAATTCTATTTATAGTAGCATTAACAACAACAACCACCCAGCCCAGCAACCCAGCAACAGCAACAAAGAAGCCAGACCTAGAGTACAGGATTCCTCTGACAGGGAATTCTGGGGAAGCCCAAACTAATCGGCAGTGACAGCGGACAGCAAGCTTCTGGGGCTGAAACTGGGTTGGGCAAGGGCCGGACTACAAAGAAGCCTGGAAGAACCTCTTAGGGTGACAGACATGTTCTGCATCCTGATCAGGATATTTACATAGACTTGTCAACACTCATCAAAAGTTACATTTAAAGTGGTTACATTTTATTGCATGTGAATTACATATATTTTAATGAAGCTGACTAGAAAGGAATAAGCAAGGGACACTCCATATGCCAATACATGCATTGCGGATCAAATTAAAAAAAGAGTCAGGCCTGCACTTATAGTTACGCACAGAGATGTCCTTAGTGAGCACTGCTGTCTCTGTTGTCACAGACCAGGGGACCACTCCCAGGCTTGATGGGGCAGGGGAGGAGAGGCTTCTCAGGTTTTTGGTAACCATTCTATTGTTAAAGGGTCCTCCAGTCTCTGCTGACTGGTTGCTGGTTTCTGCCAGCCTTTGTTCCCTGATTGCTGGCTGTTGAATCTCTAATTGCTTCTCTAATTGTTTTTCTGCAAAAGCTGCGAATTGGAAAGCGTCCCAGCCTCACCCCCAGGGGCTGGGGTTTCCTATCTTTGCAAGGAATTGTAAGCAGCCTAAGGCTGGAGCAGGGCCTGTTTCTCTCTTGAGAGGTCTGGCCAAGAACGAGAGGACAAGCAAGGTCTTGGTCTGCTCCAGGGCAGGAGGGCCTGGGGCAGGCGGTGTGGTGGGAGCAGAGGACACATGCCCAGCTGCTCGCTCTCCTTCACTTTCTCCTTAACAGAACCAGCTAGGGCCAAGTTTCAGCTATAGCATTTTCTTGCTTTTCTTTTTAAAATAAAAGTGTTATTGGAGAAAATAGAAGGCCCAGGTACACAGGGAAAGAAGCACAAAAATGCAACTGATACGGAGGGAGAACCGAAAAGTCATAATGAGCCAATGCTGTTAGCAATTACTTTTCAATTTCTTGAACAGCTCTCTTCGGGAAAAGCAGAAAATTTTGTTTGGGTTTTAAAAATCAGAACTGCTTTAATGCTTTTCGCACCCAACTATTTCCTCAAAGGTTGGAGCGGTTAGGAAGAGTGCCTAGGTCCTGGCTGAAGACTTGGTTCTTGTTTCCGCTAGTGACTATTTTCCTGAGTTCCCAACAACCTGTCAACAGCTATTTAAACAAAGTTGCCTATGTCTCTCTAATTGTATCAACAGAGTGGTTGTCTAACTGTCCGCCCTGTTTTGCTTGCCTTCCTAAGTTCGTTTAAGATTTTATTTATTTAGTTTTAGAGAAAGGGGAAGGGAGGGGGAAAGAGAGGGAAAGAAACATCCACATGAGAGAGAAATGTCGATCGGTTG